TGTAGTTTAAGCTGGAAGCTATACTTGTCTATAGAGTTGCTTGTAAGAACACCATTTCAAAACAGAAAAGGTTTAATTTGCTAGCATTTTAGGTGCTATAGCAAGTGAATCATTAAACAATTTACTACCATGTTTACTGGGGTTCTTCTACCTGTGCAAATAGAAGGAGAGTGCATTTTAATTCAATGTGCCTTAATTTTTGTGGGGAAAAAATTCTCCTTGGGAATCTCTGCTGGTCAAAATAGTAGCACATTGCATAACTTTCTACTATGATTTACTGCTTTGCAATTTATTGCTACAAATTACAACTAAAACTTATATGCCTACTTTGGATTAACTCTGTCTCTAGAGCCTTGGAGGGTTACTCTACAACAAGAAAGCTGAGCCCATTGCTTTAAATGGCATGTAGAACAAAACCACTTTCTGAAGGACAAAAATGTAGCTGCATGTGAATGTCCATTACCATATGGAGCCATTATTTATATATAACACACAAACAAAATGTGGAGATTCCTCAACCTCTGTTTTTTTGGTTTGTTGTACATAAATAGTTGACAAAGTTGACAAGACTAGACTTTTGGTAATGTGAGTTTGAGATGTACTAGAGGAAGAGGTAGGGTTATAAAACTTGCACTGACTTTTCAAGGCACCATGATATTGGTAAAAATATTCCAGCTTACCTTAAGGTTTCCAGTATTTGATCTTTGCTAGATGACTGCAGGGAAAGAATCAGATTAACTTGTCTGTCTTGAAGTGAATTGTGTTCCCATGCCAGACAAGATCGAAATAAGAACATAAAAATTAAATATAAATAACGATTTATCTTACAGTGTTTTCTTGAATGAGACCTAGACATTCCAGTCTGTGTGTATGATTTTTCAGTGTGCAAATACAATATTCTTGCATACATACTCCTTAAATAAGGAGTAGAACCTGGATCTGCTGGTGACAAATTTAACTTTTGACTCTGCAAAGCTTGATCAGGGTGATAAATGCTTATCATGTTAACAGAATAAGCTTTGCTCCTTTCCTAAACAAAACTGCAGTCCATCTTTGCCTCATTAATTCCACTGGATGAAGCACTGTTTCAGTGTAGGGTTGGTTTGTTTGTGTTTTTGTGTGATTTTTTTCTGGTGATTTTTGTTTTTACAGCTCACACATTGCAGCTAACTTTTTACAAAGTATCACAGTAAAGCGGGAAGTAATAACCACAGAATTCCCAACTGTTCAGATTAATTAATTAATTTTGGTATGTCTCAATCTACTGCAGTAAGCTGTTAGATGAAAATGAGCTTTTAAGACTGAAAATTTAAAGACACATCTCTCTTTCCTCCCCTTCCCCCTTCCTTTTTGCAGTACTATTTTGGCAATCACAATCTACCAAGAGACAAGTTTCTAAAGGAACAGATCAAACTAGATGATGGCTGGGTACCTTTAGAAGTAATGATCAAATTCAACAGGTAAAGCCAAGTACAAGTAATGTGGATAAAAGAGTAATCTCTGTTTGGGGCCAAGTGTTCCTGATGTGCATTTACATTTCCCATCGCTTTTTTAACATCTGGCTTCAGCTTTGCCTGTGTATTTGGAATAACCTCTGTCTGCTTGCTCAATAGGTTAAGTCGCCTTTCAAAAGATTTTGGTGTTATTGTAGAAGCACTAAGAAAATCCAAGACGGGTTTAATGGAAATAAATGAAGACAAAACTAAAATCAGAAGATCTCCAAATAAACCCCTTCCTGAATTAAATGACCAGTATAAGGCTGCAATTAAAAACAGATCTGTATACGTTGTAAGTAATTCTTTCTTTATTTTGTGCTGTCCTGCATGACTTTAACTGAAAACCACCTGAGAGTAAAGCTTTAATTAACTTGTACTATAGAGGTTACAGTTTTTAAAAGTCACTTTGTGGCATACAATTGAAGTGCATTGTTACCTTGCAGAAAGGCTTTCCACTAGATGCTACTCTTGATGATATCAAAGAATGGCTTGAGGATAAAGGTCCAGTTGAAAATATTCAAATGAGGAGAACATTGCAGAGAACGTTTAAGGTAATGATGAGCATTTAAACCTGGGGCAGGGATCCCTCCTGGACAACATTCTGTTCAATTAGCCTAACAATCTCTCTTATCATTTAACAGGGCTCAATATTTGCAGTTTTTGATAGTGTTGAATCTGCTAAGAAGTTCACAGAGATACCAAATCAAAAGTACAAAGACACAGAGCTGATAGTACTTTTCAAGTAAGTCCACTTAACTGATATATGAACTAAGTGGTCAGGGGTGGATTTACACAAGAACCTTGGCCTGAGAAGTGAGTTTTTCATGGCATCGATAGATGTACCTTTTGGCGACTGAGACTTAGCATCTCAGCTTGGAAAAACAACTGCTTCACATCTGTTTTAACAGAGTATTTTAAATTAACCTATATTCTCTTGAAGGGAGGAATATTGTACAAAGAAGAATGAAGAAAGGAAACAAAACAAAGTAGAAGCAAAAGCAAGAGCTAAACAGTGAGTCATTGCCAGTCAAAGTGTGTGTCTTGCTTGCCTGACCATGCTTGAACTGACTCAGAACTAATTTAACTTTTTTGCAGGGAAAAAGAAGAAAAGCAGAAACAAGCAGCAGATGCTGAAATGGTATGGGTTTCTTAAATCACCTACGTTTTATAAAGCTAACATGGAATATTCTGTTAGAAATGCTGTAATATAGAGCACTTTCTAGAAAGTCACTTCATCTTTTCCAACTAATTTACAGTAAGAGTGTTTTGTCATGGTGTTTTAATATTATTTTCAATAGCCTAATTTTGTTTGAAGGCTCATGTCCTGAATTTACATTATGCAACATGGAGATGATGGTTCTTCTATGATGTTTAAAGGATCCATTAAGGATTTCATCAGTACTATATACATTTTCAACTTATCAGCCTTCAGAAAGCTGTTGTGTAAAATTTAAAGAGCACAATTAATACGGGAAAGGAGTGCCAAGTTCCATGTAAGTGTATCACAGTAAGAAAAGAAAACTCAAAGGAGGGGACACACACTGTACAAGACTTGGACATCAGCAGAACTAAGTTATGTAGGAAAAATGCTCAAATTACTGTAACTTCAATTGCTTCTTCATTGCTGTCATGTTCAATAGGATTGAGGGGGAAATATGAATGTTCACACTTGACTGTTCAGTGATAATGTGGCGGTTTTTAATTTAATTCAGAAGTCTCTGGAAGAAAAGACAGGATGTCTTCTGAAGTTTTCTGGTGATCTAGATGACCAAACGTGCAGAGAAGACCTCCATGAGGTATTTTCTGGTCACGGAGAAATCAAGTGGATACACTTTGTCAGAGGTGCAAAGGAGGTCAGTAATCTTAGACAAGGATTTTGGTATAGAAGTTTGAAAATGAATGATTAAATATTTGTTCTTTTATGTTATCAATAAGTTATTGTCTTGTGAAATTGCTGAATATTTAGAGAATTAATTTTTTTCCTTAACTTCTTTCAGAAGAACAGATAGAGATTCCAGCCTTGTTAGTTGATAAGGTCCAAACTAAGAATGTTCATTAGCACAGTCTGAGGGCTTTGCTTCAGTCCAGACATGTTTTACAATCACACAAGAGTAATGAATTTGCTGAGGATATATTGTTCATCATCTAGCTGAATGTTTTTGCAGTAAAATTAATGCAATGCCACTCTTCTCTTAAAGGGAATTATCCTATTTAAGGATATTGCCAAAGAAGCTCTGGAAAAAGCCAAAGCAGCACATAATGGAAACTTGCAGCTCCGGAACAAGGATGTTTCATGGGAAGTGCTAGAAGGAGATGCAGAGAAAGAAGCTCTGAAAAAAATCCTGGAAGATCAGCAGGAATTGCTGAAACAGAAAACAAAAGGTTCTCCCTCCTCTTATTAATTTAAACCTTTATAATGCCCTAGAATTGGTGGATGAAATTCACTCTTAAGTAGTCGATATATACTACATACTGACCTTAACTGTAAACAATCTCTGCAGCTGGCCAATTAAAAGACAAATGATACAAAGTTCCTGATCTTGTATCTCCACAGGACGCAAAATGAAAGGAAAAGGAAGAGGGGGAAAGATACCTCAGGGTGCACAAAAAGGAAAAATACAGTTTCAGGGCAAGAAAATAAAGTTTGAGAATGACGAAGAAGATGGTGAAAATGATACTAAAACAGGTATGTCATTCTGTGCACTTGGTGCAGCTTATTCAGTACTTTTACAGAAAGTAGCTCCACATACTTATGTTTCTTACAAGCATTTCAGATTTGGCTCTGCTTCGTAGCATTTCTGCCCTCCTGACAGTATCTGCCTTAAGAGTCTTGTGCTCAATTCCTTCCACAACTGTCCAAAAAGCATATTAAAAATAATTACTATCTAGATAGTAATTATCTATATAATAGTATATAGATAAGGCTATACTGCATGGTTGTGAAAAACCATGCATTGAAACATGGTGATTGTCAGCAGCATTACACAACTGTACAGACTCAGTCTCTTGAGTGGTGCTTTTTTTTTTTTTTCCTTTAAGGATATGCGAACATTTAATAGTTTAGCCTGTCAGTATTTAGCTTGGAGCAGAAGAAGAGCTAAGCTCCTGTTCATTACATATAGCACCTGCTTAACTAAACCCTACTCCTGGTAGATTCTATTCCTGCATTTTCTTACCTGCCCTCCTGCTGTGGAGTTAGACGTGTGAAGCTCTTCAAATGGGGCATTTCAGAAGATCTAAAAGCTTTAGTCACTGTAATAAGCCAACCCTCTAGTGTAGCTGTGGCTGTAGATAACTGGGACTCAAACTTGGATGGTGGGAAGAGTTTGGGTTTTTTCAGATTTCAGGCAAAGCTTTCCTTTACTCTAAATGACTACATATTCAATCTTGCAGAACCATCAAGTCCCAAGAAGAGACCACTAGAGGAAACAGAAAAGGAAGAACCTGCACCAAAACAACTGAAAACAGAAAATGGAGATGGCAATCAGTAATACTCAAATAAAAGAATTAAAAAAATTAGTGGTTTTATTGTTCCATTTTCAGTAGATTTTAAATACCTGCCTCAATTCAGGACTTTTTGGCAGAAAATCTGATGAAATCCACTTCAATGTCAACCTACAATTAGAGAAAAGTTTCATTTTATTGGGTTACAGCTTTTTTGTTTAAGAAGCATGCTTACTGCTAACATAAAATCCTGGAAAACTTTTCTATTTATAGTTTTGTTTATACTGTCAATTTTTCTGGCATCTCATTCAAATGTAAAAGGTTTTGGACTTTGTAATCTTGTGGTTATGTTTAATAGCAGCTGGCAATAAATTCAGAACTTAAAACTTTCTGCTGAAGCCTGGTTAATATAGTATAATGTTTCAACTGTGAACTAGCAAAGAGAAGGACAGACTTAAATAAATTCAAGTTCAAGTCATCAAGAGCATAATCAGCAGCTGATTAAAGCTTCTGTTCTTTGCTGCTCAACATGCTTAACAGTGTTCAACTATTGCTCACTCTCCTCTCTACTCTCCTTACGGTAAGGGATGGGGATCCATGTCTTCCAAGCCAGCACTGAGTAGCAAGGAGCTTGCTGTGGGCTTAGGCCGCCATACTGTAGTGTCTTGACTGTATCTTTTAACAGTGAGCGCGAGTTCCTCCTGCTGCCCGCAGGAGGCTCTGAAATAATGCTACTGCTGTAACATCCTCGTTACTGTGGCCTTCAGCACTGCAGTCACTCGGGTCCGAGCTGCACACAGGATTGAGCAGAGAGCTATTAGTCAAGGAGGCTACCCTTAGCTTTACCACATCTGACTGCAGCGCTGGCTTTAATCTCTGTGTATAGCTTTGACTGGCATTATCAGGATGCTTTTCCCTGTTCAGCTACAAAATGGAATAACAGCAGTGATGTGACTGAATGCTGTGACCATTCTTCATCCAGTACATATGGTCCTAAAACTTAAATTTCAGTAAGGAGAATTTATTTACCTCAGCATTTTCTCAGTTATGTTAGGTTTTGTACTTACTGATTTCTTCTTATGGAACTTGTATGATGCTGGTAAGTCAAACCTAAGTTCTGTGAACAGTACAAAGAATATGTGTTAGACAAGGATGATAGTCAGTTAAGTCCTACAGTCATGGACTTGTGTTTCTAATGTCTGCATCTGTTGTGGCCTGTCATATCTGTTTTATCTCTGCACTACATCATGACTAAACATTGAAGCTGTCCACATCAGGCAGTTAAGTGGATGGCAGTTGTGTTTCACTTGTGCAACTTCACATCTCAAGTTATGACTATAAAAAGCATCTGGTTAGCAGAAGAACTGGGAAGACACTTTAACTGGCAAAAATATTTACGTGGCTAAGGGCAGGATGATTTTCTTGTGTGTGAAAACTGACCTGTGATTTGCTTTTCTTTTTCAGCAACATGCCCTTTGAAGCAGGAAGAGAGGTAACTTCTGCTTGAAGACAAAATCTAGTCCAGGAACAAACCTAATTTTGCACAGAATATGTATTTCTCAGAGCTTTGTTAAGTGTGTGCTTCTATTCTAGACAGGTGGCAAAGTATTTAAACAAAGAATTTTAAAAGTCTGCTAGAAAGAGAAAGACCTGTGTCATTTCTGTGTTAAATCACACTTAAATTTATCTTAGGCTGTTATGACTGGCTGGTAGTGTTAGAGATAATGTACAAAACCAAAAGTTTGGTTTTTTTTTTTTTTTCTGTAAAAATGAGTAAGTATTACCTGCTAAGACTTCCATCTTCACTTCCCATTCTGCTGCTTTCTTTTCAATGTGCTACAATAGTCGATAGAGTAGAAATGAGCTTTCAAAATTATCTGGTTTATAAACATCTACACTTCTATAGTTAAAAAGTCTCCTGTCCTTTTGGTTTTCAAGCCAAAGCATTAGATCACATAATTATCTTGATGTATGTGAGATGGCAGTTATTTGATGTAATTAGTATTTATCCCAAACATACCCCACAAAGTAATTTACAGATCAGTGAAGCTATAGACAACTATATAGCCAAATATTTTGTTGTCTGCTTAGTTCTTGCTCTACTAAAATGAAGAACTTACCTGTCGTGTTGAAGTTTTGTGAAGGGAATATACAGCTGTTTTTGCCATTTGTAGAGCAGTTTTCAGAAAAATCATATCAATTCCTGAAAGAATAATGAAATTATTAGAAATTTTAAATGGAAGTGCAAAGATCTGCTTAATTTTTTTCTGGAATAATAGCTACTTGAGTACATTAAGGTACGGAAAGTATTTCTAAAACATACTCAATTGCTTTTATTAAAATAAAAATGATAGGGATATGAAATATCTGGTATTGTTTATTTCAAACCCCAGTGACTGTTAGTTACAATGCTGAAGTTGCTAATCTTAGGACGATGATTCCAGACAAAACATTAAGAAATTAGAATACATAACTAATAAAGAAGGGAGATGCTTCACTGAAAGCATTTCCCTTGCTGCTTCGTTTGTGATAATTTCTAAGTGAGCTTCACAATTACCAACCTTTGTTATGCTTGGTACCAAACGGAGGGTTCATAATAACTGTGTCAAATGTATCTGACATGTTCTCAGATAAAGAACAGATGTCACACTGAACCATGTTGACATTCGTGAGCTCAAAGTCTTCAAGATTGCTATTAAATATTTCCAGTGCATCTGCATCTATGTCAAGCCCCACACAGAATCTATTAAGAAAAGTGTCACATGTTAGTCTACTACAAACTAAAATGGTGTTTAAATTCTACAGTAAGGGATCTGTGCACACAACTTGTTTTACCTAGGAAATGTAACAAGCATATATAACAAATTCAGTGCTGATGAAAATTCAAGTACTTCTGTTGCCCTTTCTCAAGTATAAATCCAAATTTTGTTCAGTAAGTTTCATGTTTTCATTTAATGCTTATGGGGAAAGAAAATTACTTCCAAATTCATGACAGCTGTCCATCACTTTCACTGTATGAATGGCTATTGATGGTCAAAACTTGGTAAATAGTCTGATTATGCAACAGATTATAAATCTGAAATGTTTTAGTTCAGCATTGCTATGTTTTAATCTTACTTTCTACTCTTCTATGCCAGAAAGAAATATAACCAGAACTTAGTATTAAATACTTACCCTGCTCCTAACATTGCACTTCCAATGCTGAGCATGCCACAACCGCATCCTAAATCTGCAATTGTTTTGTTTTCAATATCATCAAAAGTATTGTGAATTGTGTAAAGCATACATGCTGGGGGAAAAAAACCCAAACAAAACAGGTCAATAATACCAAATATGTACATGATTAATCAAGAAAAGCCGTTTCTGACTTCAGAAAACTCTTAATTTTGCATTAGAAAACTACTTAAACTGATGTTCTCACTGCCTGTAATTCTCTTTATCATTTATATGTGAAGAGTCAAAAACATTTTGAGTTACAAACTGTGGATCTTTGGTGGAGAGATAGAGCTCTGAGTATTGCTTGTGGAAAATGTATTTTTTGGGGAAAAACAACAGGATAGAAAACATGGAAAAGAGCATAATTAAGGTATAGATGAGTGTCTGTATATACACTTTTACTGGTTGTATATACACTTTTACTGGTTTTGTGGGTCATGACAACTCCATTTCAGCTTCTACAGTTATAGATTAAGATTGCTTCTATCACAATATTATCTATTAGATTAATTAATTTGATTTTTGGATTGAACATTGTCTTAGGTTGCATTTTTCAAAGACAGACATTACCAGAATACTACTGTACACATTCCTGTTGGATATACTTTCTTAACTACTTTTAGTATAAAGCTTTCAAAGGAGACAATGCAGTAGAAAAAACTTTTTTAATTAAATGTGCTGATGAACTAGTAAAAGAGAAAACAGTGGTGTGGGTCACCTACCTGCAATATGAGGTCTTGTTGGATACTGTTCAAGGAGTAGTTTTGGACTTTCAAAAGTATCAACTTGTTGAAGACAGCTTTCCAGTTCTTTAAGCTTTAATTTCTTCATGTTTATGTTTTAACTAAATAAAATAACGCGTAATCAGTTACAACAATATAAATAAACTACGTATGATCTTAAATTATTTCACACTTAAAATCCCCCGGTACTCTTCAGCATCTGCCGGGTGTTTTCACGCCGCCGTTCCCCGGGACGCAGCCGGCGGCGCACCGATGGTGGGGAACGAGGGCGGACCCGGGCGGCGGCAGCCCCACTCCTCACCGGCTCCCGGAGCTCAGGCCCTGGGCTCCGCTTCTACCGCCCCGGCCCGCCCAGCCCCAAGCGGGGCAGGAGCTGAGCCCCAGCGACCGCCACCACCGGCGCCGTCCCCGCTCGGCCGGCCCTCGCTCGATACCGCGCCCACTCACCGCAGCGCGGCCGGGCCGGGCCGGGCCGGGCCGCTCCGAGCGCCGCCGCGCACTTCCGACGCACCGCCCGCCCCCGGCGTGCAGCGCCCCGCCCCTTCCCGGGCCGGCGGGCACCTGCGGGAACGAAACGCCAGGGAACTTCCCGTGTTCGTTAAGGACTGCGAGCTTTGGTCTCGCTTATTATAAACACGAGACGTTTTATTGCAGCCTTACTATGTCACGGCTGAGCGGTGCCTGAGAAAGGGCCGGAGGACACACCTGGCAGACCGGGCTTTCTCGGTGGTCCCGCTCCTGAGTGCCCTTAGGGACAGAACAAGGAACTGGAATTTTCCCGGTGCGCTGGGAAAAGCGGCCGTGAAGAGTAGCATTCACCTGGAACCGCAACGCGACACAAGCCGCCAGCAGACGGGCAGCCATAGGAAACGCAGGCAAAGCCAGAAGGGAGGCAGCTGCCTTGAGGCCCGTAGCTGTCGGGTTACTCTCATTTAGGAATAGATGTTTTTCGTATAAAGCTTTCCATTGCACAGTTGAAAATCTGTTTATGGAGGTTTAAAACCGCCGATCGGTGTGCGAAACACGATAACTCGCATTCCCACACGTTCTCTCCTGGTAGCAGGGCACAGGGGGCCGCACGCTGGTACCTCGGCTCTGCGGACACCCCGGGGTGCGGTGCTGCCGCCGGAGCCCGGCCTGCTCTGCACCCCCAACGGGGCCAGTTGACGGCAGCGAGGGCAGAACCGCCGGCCCGAAGCCTCAGAGGTGCTTCCCACATTCCCCGCAGTTGCTCCTGCCCCCAGAGCCGCCACCACCTGAGCCCGGCGGGACCCTTGTAGCCAGGATACACGGGCGGCCGCAGGGTGTCTCACGGCAGCCGCTTCGCTGCAGGCACGGCTCGGTAACAAACGAGCTCCGCTGCCGTCGGGGCCGCCGGCGGCCCAGGTGTGCCCTCCACGCTCCCCGCGGCTGCCGGGACCCCGGGAACGCGAAGTTTCGGGCCGGCGGGCGGCGACATTCCGTGCGGCGGCGGCGCGGGGCGCGCACCTGCGCGCTGGGAGGGCGGCAGGAGGGCAGGGGCGGAGGAAGAGGAGGGTGGTGTCAGGGGAGGGGAGAGGCGGTGTCGGGAGGGGGGCGCGGGCGGCGGGCAGGGCGCCGGTGCCGCGGCTATCGCGAGAGGGCGGCGCCGCGGGGCGGGGAGCGAGGGCGGCGGAGGGATCGCGGATCCAGAGCCCGGCGCGGCCGTAACGGCCCCTCGGTGTCCCGTCATGGCGGGGGCCGGCGCCAGCAGCAGGGACAAGCGGGCCACGGCGGCGCGGCTGAAGGCGGCGCTGGGCGGCGAGAGCGGCGCGGCGGCGGCGGCGGAGCTGCGGGCGCTGCTGGAGCGGGTGCTGGCCCCGGCGGCGGGCCCTGGCGGTGGCGAGGCGGCGGGCGAGGCGCTGGAGTGGTGCCGTTGCCTGCTGTCGGGCGGGGAGCCCTGGGACAGCTTCGTGCAAGCCGTGCGGGCCTACGACCCCGCCACGCTATGCGGCCTGGTTTGGACCGCCAACTTCGTGGCCTACCGGTGCCGGACGTGCGGGATCTCGCCTTGCATGAGCCTGTGCGCCGAGTGCTTCCACCAGGGCGAGCACGCCGGGCACGACTACAACATGTTCCGGAGCCAGGCGGGGGGCGCCTGCGACTGCGGCGACAGCAACGTCATGCGGGAGGCCGGGTGAGCGCGGGGCGGCCGCGGCGGGGCGGGCGGGCACCTGCCGGCGGGGGCGGCCCCGCGGGAGGCAGAGCTGTGCCCGGGCCGTGCCGGGAGAGAGGGCAGTAAGTGAGGCCCCTGCCGCCTCCTGGGCCGCCTGCCTCCATCCCTGGCTACGGCTCGGGCCACGGGATGAGCGGCGAGTCCGCCGGGGTTCGGCAAGGTGGCTTTGTTGATGTGGGTGTGCCTTTTTTTTAGGACGCTCATGCGAATCTTGTTGCCCTTGCACCGAGTGCCAGCCCTCAGGGAAGTTGATAAGGCAGGGTGCATGGGAGGCAGTACCTGTCAGCTTCCAGCTAGCAGCCTTGGCCTAACACAGCTAGCCGTGAAGTCAAAATACTTTGGGACAGCGTGTGAACAGATAAGCCAAAGTGAACAGATTGAATAAGAGGGACGCACTTTTGTGTGATTTCCCTGTCTGCAGTTCATTTTGCCACCTTAGATTTAAATCAAGGAATGTGGTAGCGCTTGGATGTATACAGCAGGGCAGGGTTTTTTGGAAGTCAAAGGTCTTTTGTATTCTGACCTACTAGAGCCAAGACTGAAGTGCCTGGTCAGAAGAAGAGGAGTCGGGTACCTCATTAAACCCTCCTTTGTTCTCGTATGTACTCTATGGTGAAAGATCAGTCAACCAGTTACTGGATAAAGGTGATATCTAGCCAGTAAACTTCAGGTTTTGCAACTGAATGTCTTCTGGAGCTCCTTGTGTTCCTGTTGATTCACCAGCTAGCTAAAGGCTCCACTAGATGACAGTTTGGAGTGCTTGAATGAGGTTTCTTTTTGACAAACCTTCTGGAATAGTCTGTCTTGACTGTCTTAGCCTGGATGAGATGATGTGCTGTTGAAGTCTAAGTTGTGGCATACCTAGCAGAAAACAGTAGGAACATAGAGAAATTTTAAAACATTTTCGTTGGTTATTTTCTTATTTTTGCAGATTTACAGCTGTAACTCTGTATCATTCACTCAGCTTCTTAAGACTCCTTCTCTTTTTGCATTCCTACTTAGAGATTTCATTAATTCTGCTTTTTCTGTTTCTTGAATGTTGTTGCCTTGACTCCGATTCTTTAGGTCTGTAATCATTGTTCTGCTGCAGGCCTTGACATGGCTTCAGTCTTTGTTTCTTATGCTTTTCTCACCTTTTCTTTCTCTTGCAATCTGCCTTCATTTGTTCATTCTTTTTTGGTGGACTCTTTTCTTATTGATAGACTTACTCCAATGTGAGAATTTTTTTCCTCCTTTTGTTTTCAGTAATCTTTAGTGGTTTCAAGTTGCTACTGCTGAAGTGATTCTTTCTTTATCGGTTCTTCTTCAACTTGTGGTGATTCTGCTTTCCTCAGCATCACTGAAGTAAGAGTTTCCATTGATCTTGAGAAATAGGAAAAAAATTAATACTACTTCTTCCACTGTTCGTTGTGGAACAGACTTAGGGCTCCTCTTAGTGGCAGGATTTTAACAGAGCACACACAAATTGAACTACTTTAGGGTGCATATTGAAATTACTTGTGATGCTGTGCTCATCCCAGACTGTATATTTCACAGTTATCTTTTTTTACTTTGAACAGTTTTCTTCTTGAGGAAATCTGGTTTAATAAAGAAGAAATAAAAAATGCTGTTAAATTTGCAATGTAAGCAGATGCAAACCCCAAGGGAGTAACAATCTCATTTCTATGTACTCTACTTATTGCTTTTAATGGTAGAATTTGAGAGTATATTGTCTTGTTTGTGAGGTAGGTCCCTTCAGGAGCTTTGGTCACTAAAGCTAAAGAATTGCTGAACAAATAAATAATATTTGTGCAGAAACTACACTTGGGGTTGTGCAGTAGATTTTCCAGTCCTCTTGGACTTACAAGGAGGGCAATACATGGCAGCATATGGAGTGTCTGCATTTAACATAAGGTCACTTCTACTTACGTAGACAAGAACTGATGTTAAGCCATTGCAATTAAGTGAACTAGAAACTTTATTTGCTGTGCAAGACAAAGTAAAATAAACTTTAACCAGTGTAAAAAACATTATTGTGTGCAAAGACACAGAGTTTTACCTATTGACTTGAATTGCTACAATGCAGCATGTTTAGGTAGTGTTTTTACTTTGTGTATACAAATCAGCTGCATGATTACAAAGGTAATGCTTTGCATGTCAAAGTTAGGAGGTCTTCATGGTGGACTTACGAAACTGGAGTGTGTCTAGCCTGATATAACCTTGGCCACTACAGCCTAGGCTTCTATTAATAGCAAGGGAATCAAATGTGGAGCCTACTTACAAACTTTATCTACCATCTGTCTGCTCAGATACAGTTTGGTGTAGATGCTGTATATGAATATTATAGTAGCATTCTTTCGTTTCTGTTCCTCTTATCTGGTCTTCATATTCATATTATTTATTTGATGCAGCTCAAAAATACTGTTCATGAAGTCTTAGTTAAGTGATCTCCTATAAAGGAAATCTCTCCAGTTTAGAATCTGGAATATCTTTTCATTTCCTTTAGGATGGCTAATGTAAATCTAGAGATGGTTTATCCTAGAGTATGAGTGTGTGTTAATCTTGTAGTACTAATTAAATATATAATTTGTTTTATAGGGATACCTGTGCCTTTATAAAAAGAAGCTGGAGTATAGCATAATAGATGCATACTGATTTGCCTTAGGTACCTAGGTTTGCTTTAAGTGCCTTGTGTAATTCTCATGTCTTCTAGAAAAATCACATTGTCACATTTTTGAACCTTTTGATTTCCATTCAGATTTCAGTGTTTTTGATGTTTGTTAATGGCAGTTGGTCTGATCTACTAGAATGTAATGTAGACTTTTTAAAAATCCAAGATTGTAAATGTAGCTGCTTGTGAAAACATTACAAATTCTACCTGTGGCGAGGTTGAATAGATTTTAAAATCCATTGATGTGTCAGGAGGTAGAAATAGTTTGTAGTTGTCTCCCATATGGTATCTAGCTATTTGCAAATGAAATTTAGCACGTCCTTCTGAGGTAATTAATAATGTTCTGAAGAAGCAAAAACCTTCAGTTCTAAAGCATTTTGAGTAGACATATGCTAGTAGTTCAAATGAGTTCATCTGTTGGATTAAAAAAATCCCATGCAGTTGGACAGGGGAAAATTCAGACTGAAGTAATTTTTGGTTGGTAGATGGTCTTGTATTATAATGAAAGTGATAGTTTATGAAATAAGCTTGAAGAAGGCAGTGTGCCATATGGTTCTTATAGGAGTATAACTAGTCAATAATCTGTTCCTTCTGAGT